GTTCGATCCAAAGTTAGTACGATAGGGTCTGGGTGGTTTGTCTTATAAAGGAACGGGGTTCAGATTTTGTATTTTTAATCAGTGGATTTTTCTTTTATGTTTTATTGTCCTAATGTGTATTAATTTCTAACTCTCTTTAAAAACTTGCATGTAATCCAATATGAGTAAATATTATTATTATTATTATTATTATTATTATTATTATTATTATTATTGACTTCAGAATAACCGAGTGTGGTTCTGGCCCTGGTTTGTGGCCACGTTAGCGCTGTGTGTCTTCGAACTCATCGCGATCATCTTCTATATCATAGTTGCAAGTAAGTTGCCCTTTTTATGCAGGACTTTTTTAATGTAAAGTAGACGAATTGTATATTTAAAACCCATGGCAGTTATCTTCTATATCATAGTGGCAAGTAAGCTGCTTTTTCACTTGGGAGGTTTTATAAGGCAAAGTAAACGAACGGTATAATCTGAAAAATTGCCTCAATTCATTGGAATCTTGATTGCATTTTGGTGGCGTTTGGTTTTGGTAAAGACATGTTCATCACTTGCTGGTTTGAGGTTATATAGTATGTAAATAGAGGAGTCAATGTATACAAAACTTTTTTGTTTGATTATATGATCATTTTCTTTTATCAATTTATTTTACAGTCGACGCTCCTGGCTACTGGCTTAGCGTTGTCATTGGGTTACTTATTCTTGCGTTATTCGTAAGTACATGGATCTTCGATAATGCAGTTTATGTGGGATGGTTAACTCACTTGCTATTCCAATGAGATTTCGATTTGTTTTCAATTCAGTCCAGACGTTCGCCTAAACAGGTTTTATCAATTTCATCAGAACATAATTTCGCTTCACAGTAGAGAATATTAGCAACCAATATTCGAAGAAATTCAATCTTTCTCAAAAATGGAAAACTAAATGTTGAGGTAGAGGAATGACCCCTCCTCATCCCTGCTTACTACATAATTTTGATCTTTTTTTTTGTTTTCTTTCAGATTTACGCTCTAGTAGGAGTGATCTATTTCTACAAACAGCTAGGAAACACCATGCGTTCGTAATTTTGAAAGAATTCTGCGCATGCGTTGTAAACCGTTTCTACTTAGCAGGACAAATATTAGGCAATCTGGGCCTCCAGCAGCTTGGGCTGTGTAGTAGACATCTAGGCAGCGTTGATTTTTTTTCTTTTTTGTGTGTGTGTTGAACGTCTATGTACTTTGGAAATAAATGTCAAGCTATCAAGATCAGGATTTGACTTTTTTTAAAGATAAGAATAGGATTTGCTGGTTTATATAGTTGCGCTTAGGTATTTTACTGTGTTTAAAATTAAAAAATGAGGTAATCAGAACTTATCGTTAATTTATCAAAATAAAAAACTGAATTATTCTAATGTAGCCGACTGTTATCCACCCATTTAGGCCTATGTAATGAAGTCACTTTTGACGCACCATGACGTCATGCCAGGACAAAATGCGATTGATATATATAGATATTGTTTGCTTGGAAAGGCTTGAATTTACAATGTTTTCATCATTTCGTTTATGCGTAAGAAAACTGATTTAACGACCGTAGAAACATTTTGCCGGACGCAGTGCAAACATAAAACAAAATATTTTTTTTCTAATTCAATTCGGACTCGGTCCTAGATTATTTAAAACCCAGATTTTAGCTGATTTTCGTCTAAAACGGAGCGCAATAAGACCAAATGTATTGACCACGTGAACCCCGTTAAACCAAAGTTGGTCAGAATCCAAGCTTGGTGCGTCTTCGCTGAAGGCTAGATGTGTTTTCTCTAAATTTAGAGCAGGGTAAAGATACTGCATTTCCTGGTTTATGTCTGGTTCACGTTAACCCCATATCACTAAGCATATATTTGTAAAAGCAACAGCATACTCTATCACCTGTTCATGAAGTTTTTAGTATTTTTTACAAAGTTCACTTTTACAAAGTTTTAATTCTAACATTTCAAAGAAGGGTTTACCTGTAATTTTTGTATTCTACTCTGCAATATAACGTGTATCCATTTCAGCTAATTTTGTAACGACTTTTGTATGCTGATATTGTACAATAAACAGTCTTGCTTCGAAATTGCCATGCTTGTTTTCCAATTATTACTGTGCCATCCCATAATCCGCCAATTGATTCTTTTGATACATATTAATTCGCTAAAAGAAAGACGTAACGTGCATGTAGCACACCTGGCAATTCACAAACAACGAACGGCTCCACTATTCTGAAGATAAACGCACCAAAACCTTTTTTGTATCGCTATGTCCAGTTTCAATTTGCACGCGTTAATCCCTTATTTGCAAAGGTCGCCCTCATGGTCAATTATCTATCTGAGAAAACTTTCACCATGTTGGAGTGAATTCCAGGTAATGGCATATGCTTTCAGACACAGCGATAAGACACATTTGTGACGAGGAGGTATTTTATTATTTCGTAGAAAAAAATGTGATACAAATAAACAATTCTAGCCAGCATATACCACAGTGCTTGTAAGTTGAAAAAAATCAGCATTGATTCCTGAATAATGTCAATAGATAATCCTTCATTTTAAGCAATTAAAGGCAATGTAATTAGACAATTTAACTTAACTGTCAGAAATGGGTGCATAATTCTCTCAATGTGCAGGTTCCTTGCGATTTTACATTTGTAAACGGCTCAACCCAGAGATGAATGGGAGTGAAATGGCACAGTGAGAAAACTTCTTACACAGGTTGAGCATAAGCTCTATTCCTTGCAATAAATGATAGCATTAGCAACATAGTTTGTTTCAATATAGTTTATACTTTCAACAGCAGCGATACCAAGGGAATCTAAAGGTCTTAGTTTTTATCTACCTTTTAATCATCTAACATATTGCAAAGCGAGACCATTTCCACTCAAGGCTCTGGTTCTCCCGGACCATTAGCTTGTAAATCATCACTGCATTTGCCTGCAATTCTATAATATACAGCAACCCATAACGGTATTAAAATGAAGAAATTGTAAAAATCCTTTTGTCTCATTGATGTTACATATTTTGCAGTTGAAAAACATTTCTGTTAAATGAAATTGGAAATAAATGCTTCAAGCAACATAAACCTTTTAAGCTGGCTACTTTTTATTTAAAAGTTCTCATCACGGATAGCAGATGTAAATTTTTATCAAAAACACAATATGTATAATTATGCCTTTGTAAGCGATAAGAAAAATTATGAGAAAATATATGTATCATGAAAAAATAAAACATTTTTCTGCACTAAGGCACATTATCTATAAAAAAAAAAAATAATGCTAATCTATAATTTTTAAAAGGTCCCGTCGCATATTCGCCGATTATAAACTTCAAGTTCTGGTCCAATAAGAACCAACCTGCTAGAAACGTACAGATTGAATCTCTCTCGTCTACTTTGTAAGCAAATTATCTATTAAGATACTGAAAATACCAAACAACTAATCTTCCTATTTCCTATATATAAAAATGCCAATAGATGCCTAAAATATTAACATAAACCCATTCTTCACCATCTATACAATACAATACAATATGTTCTTGGGTAATATCTCAATTAGTCTCTATAAAAGACAAGGGCTTTGTGTAATTGGCATGAATCACCTATAATGCTACGCGTACATTAAATGATTACAATTTGACCCAAGTCTAAAAACTATTCTAGCCTAAACCTACATATAACATTACGGAACGGTTATTGAATCAGACTACATGCACGTACAAAAACGGCCTATCTTTTTACCAATGGGAAGGCGCCTACTCATTCTGTGCGGATCTACACTTTTGGTTGGACGCCGCCATCAACTAATTGCTGGTAGTAGAAAGATACACAGACCATGGCGTAGATCTAAAAGGAAAAATTAAAAAGATTCTCAATAAACGAGGAAAAGGGTTTTATGACGTTTTATAACGTTACCATAACGTGACCATATCGTTCTTTGGTCATAATAACGTTATGGTAACGCTTTAATAACGTTCAATGTTTGCTGGGTTTGTGGCAGACGTGTCGACCATGGAGGCATTATTTACATACATTAACCATCAATCCTATTTATTATCCCCTATAATCTAGCGCTTTTGTTAACATTTTGTACATTTGCATTTGCTACTGTATGCAGGGCCGTATTAGCCGTGAAAATTGCTAGAGGAAATCGTCTAGTGTTTAGTCTGATACAATTTATTCGTTTTCTTTCTGTTATAATGCATCAGTGAACATGTTATCTGTCTGTATTTATGCCAGTGACCCGTATCAGTATGCAGTCGTGTATGTCGACAAATAATTGACCATGCCAGTACCATGTACCGGTGTGACAGGAATGGTAGTCCGCTAGGAACCGTAGTCCATTTCCCATAACTTTGTACAGGCGACATTCGTGCCATATACCCGCCCCCCCT